AGTGCCACGTCAGCAGTGCCACGTCAGCAGTGCCACGTCAGCAGTGCCACGTCAGCAGTGCCACGTCAGCAGTGCCACGTCAGCAACAGTGCCACATCAGCAGTGCCCCGCCACCATGACAGGCTCAACTCTGGGCATGCCAGGCCAACTGGCCAACGAGTCCATTGCTGAGTACAAACAGCGGTTCCAGACTCAGCTCGCACTGATCGAGGCTGAGGAACAGCGCCAGGTGGCAGCCGAGGCTGTCCGCCTACAGGCTGAAGTGGCGGCAACAGCTGAGAAGCAGCGGCTTCAGGCCGAAGCAGACGCAGATACCCAGGCACGCCGCAAGGAAGCCCAGGATCTGCTACAGCGGCATGAAGCCACTAGCATCGAAAAGCTCAAGTTTTGGCACTTTGAACCATCCGAAGGGCACGATGATGCAACACCGGAGGAGCAGCACAAGGAATTCATGGCCAAGCTCGTGACCCGGTTGGTCTACACTTGTAACCACCTGCACTCCGAGCTGGCGAACCTCCAGCGGGCCGTACGGAACCACAAGGCTCAGCACGAGGATGCAGCACATGCACTTGATTCCCGTGTACAGGACTTGGAGCAAACTGCACCAAGACCGGAGGCTGGCGAGTCCAGCAGTGCACCCTCTGCCCGCCAACTGGAGGAACGAGTTGATCACGTAGTCGCAATGCTCGGCGACATCAGTACCTTCGCTGCACCAGCCACCATCAGCAATCAGCTGGACACCTTGAAGACCGAGGTTCAGCAACTGCACCAGCTGCCTAACAAGGATGGCAACGCCGTGCAGCACTACAAGATGTCGACATTCCAGATCGAGAAGTTCGATGATTATACACATCAAGACCCGGTCCTCTGGTGGGAGGGCTTTACAACGCAACTTCGGATTCTGTTCGTCGCCAAGCACACGTACATTGGCGCACTGTTCCTCAACTCAAAGGGCGGATGCCATATCTAGTTGAGCCACCTGGCAACCGTCCACGGCGTCGACGTCGCAGATCTGAAAGATAAGATCTCTTGGGAAGAGCTAACACGGCTATGGAAGAAGCGGCTCATCGTGGACGACGCCCCGGCGTTCGCCATCAACCGCCTCTTCGCTATGACGCAAGGCAACACATCGACACGTGACTGGCTCACGGAATGGCAAAAGGTCGCGGCAACGCCCGATCTTGACTTGCCATTTTCGCATCTGCGCCGCGAGTTCTACAACCGGTCATGTGCCGCCTTGAGCCTTGCACTTGGTGATCGCGAGCAATACGCGACCTTCGCCGAAATCATCGACAAGGCAAGGGAGATCATCAAGACCAATAGGACAGCTGCACATGAGAAATCAGCATGGCAGCCAACCTATGTGGAGAAGGTGAAAACTGGTCCGCGGCCGCAGCATGTCGCTGCAGTCCAATCGGACAACATTGTGGAAGACCCGGCAGCCACCCAAGCGTCACGTGAGGGAGATCAGGTGGCTGCTGTCCAGCCGCGAAGCAACAACAAGTCCCGAGGGAACGGGAAGGCAAAAACCGCATCGCCGACCGGAAACGGACAGCCAGCACCATGGGTCAAGTTTCACTTGACCGAGGCAGAATACAAGTGGCGCGGCCGCTACGATTGCTGCTATTGGTGCAACAGCACCAAGCACAAGACCTCCCAATGCCCGGATCAAGGCAAGGAGGATGTTCGGCCTCGTATCAACTCGGGAAACTGAGTTCCGCGGGAGGTGAGGCGACTCCACCTCTCACTCCGCCAGATTCGGCCGCCTTGCTAGCGGCCTCCTACACATCTGGGGAGGATGCGAATGTCGCAAGTTCTCGGTACACTTACGAGGACTATGCTGTCCACTTGGTCCCACCGTTGGACCAACCGCTCCACGTGCAACAATCTACCGCATGCACGGTCTCACTACCATCGGCAACCGAGTCGGCAGCTTCGCCGCCATCTATAGCCGGGGATTCGACGATATGGTCAAGACTTGAAGAGCTCAACCCGTTGATATTTGCGGACTTCCAATGGATGCCCCTTCCCCGGTCCGGTCGATTGACGAAACCGCATTGCAACGTGCTCATGGCACAATTGCGGGATTATTTGCATACTGCAGTACCAACTCTGTTGATGGACACCGGAGTAGAGGTTGTCAACCTTCACGCCTGCATTGCGAAGATCGACCACGAGTTCAAGACACAACGGTACGACAACATCGACGCACCATTGTTATATGTACGCATTCAGATCGGAGAGGCGACCTGCAACGCTTTGATCGATTGCGGAGCATCTCGCAACTACATGAGCCAGGACTTTATGGTACGCGCCGGCCTTGGCCCACGCGTCCGGAGGAAGTCCCAGCCTACGCAAGTCACATTGGCAGACGGTCACACGCACAAGTCAATCGACCGGTGCATAGATGACCTCCCCGTGTACTTTGCCCCCCATGCAAGCGAGGCGGTGTCCTTCGATATCTTGGACACCAAATTCGACATGATCATGGGCATGTGATGGCTGCGAAGCGAGGATCACCCGGTGAACTTCTACCGCCGCACCGTTCACGTTCGTGATCGGAATGGAGTACTAGTCCCATGCACGGTGGCTCCTCCTCACCCTTCGATCAACTGCCACGTGGTGTCCGCCGCAAGCATGCGAGTTTCCATCATCAGAGACGACATCGAGGAGATGGGGGTGTGTTTTCTCCACGCCCTCCCGCCCCATGACGCTTCATCGACGGACTCATCTTCGGACCCACGCATCACCGAACTTCTCGACGCCTACGGCGACGTGTTCGAAGGCCCGCACGGAGTAGTACCGGATCGGCCCATCCGCCACGAGATCATCCTCGAGGACGGGGTTGTACATCCGCGTGGTTGCATCTACCGAATGAGCGAGGAAGAGTTAAGTGTGCTGCAGGCACAACTCGACGACCTTCAGGAGAAAGGCTGGATTCGGCCTAGCTCATCGCCATATGGTGCTCCTGTTCTCTTCATCCGAAAGAAGAACAAGGATTTGCGGTTGTGCATCGATTATCGCAAGCTCAACGCGCAAACGATCAGAAACGTCGGCCCTCTTCCACGCATCGACGACCTTCTCCAACGGCTGGGCGGCACCAAGTTCTTCTCCAAGCTTGACCTCAAGTCGGGATATCACCAACTCGAGATTCGGCAGGAGGATCGCTACAAGACCACGTTTAAGACGCGATATGGGCATTTCGAATGGTTGGTTATGCCATTTGGCCTTACGAATGCCCCGGCCACTTTCCAAGCGGCTATGACAACGGAGTTCCGACACATTCTGGATCGATTCGTACTTATCTACCTCGACGACATTTTGGTGTACAATCGGAGTTTGGACGAGCATGTGGAGCACCTGCGCACCGTTTTGGAGCGGCTACGACAAGCCAAGTACAAAGCCAACCGCGACAAATGCGAATTCGCATGGCAAGAGTTGGAGTACTTGGGACATTATGTGACGCCGCAAGGCATCCGTCCGCTTGCGGACAAGATCGAGGCCCTCCGCGTATGGCTCGAGCCCACCACCACGGACGTCCGTTCATTCATGGGGTTGGCGGGCTACTATCAGCGATTCATCACCGGGTACTCAAGAATTGCTGCACCTAAGACGAGATTACAATCGCCAAAGGTGCCATTCGTATTCGATGACGACGCACGCCGATCATTCCAAGCACTTAAGACGGCCATGCTCATGGCACCCGTCCTTAGCATCTATGACCCCATCCTGCCTACGAGAGTGACAACTGATGCTTCCGACTATGGTATTGGGGCAGTCTTGGAACAACACGACGGCGACGACTGGCACCCTGTGGAGTATTTCAGCCACAAAGTGCCTCCCATCAATTCGCTTGATGATGCAAGGAAGAAGGAGCTGCTCGCGTTCGTGATGGCTCTCAAGCGATGGTGGCACTTCCTCCTTCGGCGTCGTAGGTTCACATGGATCACGGACAACAACCCATTGACCTGCTACAAGACGCAGGATACAGTGAGCAGCACAATCAGACGATGGATGTACTTCATCGACCAATTTGACTTCACACCGAAACATCTCCCCGACTTCTCCAATCGCGCAGCAGATGCACTCTCGCGAAGACCTGATCTTTGCGCAATGACCCATCATGCCTTCGCATTCGACGAGGAACTTCAGCGACACTTCATCCGGGGCTACGAGTCTGATCCGGACTTTGCCACGTTGTATGCGCAGCTATCTTCGGATCACCCGCCGGCCAGCCACTATCACATTGCCGACGGGTACTTGCTCCTCCACTCGAGAGGCAAGGACTTACTATGTGTCCCACGAGACCGTCGTCTTTGGACTCTCCTTCTCGGCGAGTACCATGACTCGCGACTCGCCGGCCATTTCGGAGTCAACCGCACTATCGCACGGCTTCGACAACGATTCCGATGGCCCGACCTCATTACCGATGTCACTCAGTATTGCGACTCTTGCGAAGTTTGCCGACGAAGCAAGCCCCGCAATCGCAACCCCTACRGCGAGTTGCGCCCGATGCCTATCCCACRGGAACCCGGCCTCTCCATTGCCATGGATGTCACCGGACCATTTCCCCGCGATCGCCTCGGGCACGACGGCATCCTCACGGTTGTGGACCGATTGAGTAAGTACGCGCGTTTTCTCCCTTGCAAGTACTACTCCACGGCTCCCGAGCTGGCCCGCCTCTTGCACACCGGTTGGATTTGCGGCCACGGTGTACTGGAAGACATAGTTAGCGACCGCGACACTCGCTTCATGTCGACATTTTGGACTGCTCTCATGCAGGAGTCCGGCACGAAGATGAAACCAGGTTCGGCTCGGCATCCACAGACGGACATGCAAACGGAGCGCGCACATCAAACCGCCCAAATGATGCTTCGTACGCTCATCCGTCCGGACCAGAAAGATTGGGTTGACCGCCTCCCCGACATCGAGTTCGCCTACAACACTTCGGTGCACCCGGCGATCGGCGTGACTCCATTCGAGTTGCACCACGATGGACGGAAAGGTCGTATCTTCGCCGACCTTCTCCTACCACGACTAGCCGACATCGACACCGCTTGCTCTCCCGCTTCCGTCCGGAAGTACAGGGAATTGCTGGCTCAAGGCCACGCCAATATGCAAAAGGCTAAAGTCCGCATGCAGCAGCAAGCCAACAGGCGTCGCGTGCCATGTCCCATCCGCGTTTGGGTCTCCGCGGAAGAGTTTGCACTGGAACAAGATGTTTCACGCAAACTGCTTCCCAAGTGGTTTGGACCATGGCCCGTAACATCAACCGCGGGCGATGAGCCCGATGGCTCTTCATTTGTGATCAACATCCCCCCGCATATGATGGTCCATCCAGTCTTTCACGCCTCGAAGCTGGCATACACCACCTAAGAGCGACGACTTTTAGGGTCGATGATCGCAGGACCCTCCATCTATGGATGGTCATCAGGAAGTTGACCGCGTCATCACGGATCGCAAGTACGGCAGTAAGCCTTGACAGTACAAAGTTACATTCAAAGCATGCGATCCCGACGACACTCGGTGGATTTCAGGAACAGATTTGAAAGCATCCGCACCTCTGATCTACGCTCACTACGAGCGACAAAGGTTAGCTCAAGGAACTTCACGACCTGCCCCTCCCACCCGGACTGTGGTCCCTCCCTCAGACAGGCAGCTTCGCCCTCGCAGGTAAGCTCGGTCTTTCAAGGAGGGGGGGGGGTGGCATACTGCGTAGCCACACGGGCCTGCAGGGCCTGTCCCACATTCTCAGCCTAAAAGCCTAGAAATAAGGGCTTACAGGCCCCGTGTCGTTTCAGCCTGAACGACTGAAAACGAGGGCCTGCAGGCCCTATGTCGTTTCAGCCTAAAACAGGGCTTTTCAGCCTGAAACGGAGGGCCACTTTCGGGCCCTCATAAGATCGACCTACCCTAACACTCGGACACAAAACCAGGGTTTCGGGAACAGGCTATTTCTGGCCTGTTCCCACGACAGCCTCAAGCAGGAGCTGCAGCAGCAGCCCCTGACTCCCTTCGGCATTGGCAAGAGCAGTCTCCTGGACTGCCTCACCCTGCAGTCAGGAGGCAGGCCCAAAAGTACATAGGGAGTTCCCATGCACTTCACGGGTAGGTAGTTGGACAGAAGGCAGGAGTAGTCTTTAGGATTCGGCCGCAGCACTCAGGAGGAGCGCTGCAGGAGCAGCTTAGCGCTAGCAGTAGTCTTCAGCGTTGGGCGCTAGTAGCAGTAGCAGTAGTCTTCAGCGCTGGGCGCTAATAGGTGGTAGTAGCAGTGTTGGAGAGAGATGGCTAGCGGAGGCCAACGAGACTTACCTGTGGCGCCATAGCTCCAGCTCCATCTTCGAGGTACCTTCATCAAGGCGCCAACTTCACAGGTTACTACCGGACTGAGAGAGAGAGAAGAGAGAGTTCTTCTTCTTCCTCTTCTACGTCCACCATCTCTTCTTCACCCTCCCACTACCTGACTTCTCAGTATCAGCAGACTACGACAAAGAGAGAGAGAGTGTGACTTGAGACTTGACGACATTGGATCCAGACTCGACATTGGGATTCAGACATTTTGATGAGGGACTATTTGGGCTCGTGCCGAAGACTTGGTGTTGACGACATTCCCATCTTCCCCTTTTCTTCGTCTAACCCCCCGCTTCTTCGTCTGTGTATGGTTGGGGCGGGCGCATTCTTCCTGTGTGAGCGCCAGACCCATTCACACCATGGAGTGATGATGATGATGATGTATGTTCAGGGCTGCACTGCAATATTGATTGTTCGGATCATTGGTATCTAAGTCATCCGCTACGCTATCTTGTACTTTGTATTGAGAGGTCGGTTCTTGTTCTGGTCTGCACCGTTACAGTATGCAACAATGCAGGACATGCTAGGAGAGGATGTGGCGGGTGATGGCATCGGGGATAGTCCATGCAGCAGAGACACATAATTTCTATGACAGCTTCCCGGAAACATTGATGACACATGGCATGTTGCTGATATCTTAGGACGAAAGCAAGTTGACGTTTGCAATTATTTAAGCATGGCATGGCAAGGCCACAACGGCACACTGGGCAAGTAAGTAGAGCGTGCGGGGGATGAGTACAAGAGAATGGGTCACAATTTTTGCAGCAGCGACCATCCCTTCATAGTGTTCAGAGCAGAGGCTATGTCGTGTGCATGCTAACCGAACTGTAGTTGTGTGGGGACAGAATGGCATGGCAAAGCCACCAAAGGGGCCCTTTCACTGCCTGTGGCAGAATTCATCCGATCTACACAGGGAATGGGTCACCGTTTTCGCACTTATTTAAGCATGGCATGTCAAGGCCACAACGACACACTGGCAAGTAATTAGAGGGTGGGCGGAATACGTACAAGAGAATGGGTCACAGTTTTCACGGCAGCAACCATCCCTTCATAGTCTTCAGAGCAGAGGCAATGGCGTATGTACGCTAACCGAACTGTAGCTGCGTGGGGACAAACTGGCATGACAGAGCCACCATCCTCTGGAGGGGCCTTTTCACTGTCTGTGGTAGAATCCATCCGATCTACATAGGGAATGGGTCACAGTTTTCGCCGCAACGACCATCCCTTCATAGTGTTCAGAGCAGAGACTATGCCGTATGCATGCTAACCGAACTGTAGTTGTGGGGGGGGAGAGACTAGACTATTCCGTATGCATGCTAACCGAACTGTAGTTGTGGGGGGGGAGAGACTATGTTGTGTGCATGCTAACCGAACCGTAGCTGTGTGGGGACAGAATGGCATGGCAGAGCCACCATCCTCTGAAGGGGCCCTTTCACTATGGCAGCTTCACACGAAAGTTGACCGGACTAGCGAAAATATCAGAACCGGCGGCTTGAAGGATGTGGCATGTGCCGAAGAAGCGACGCCTAAACTTACGAAGCGTATCCGCTCCGAGTTGCAAGTAACAAGCATCGATGAGCACATCATCACCGACTTTGAATGGATGATCTATTCACGATCGGTTTGCTGGTGCGGCCATGCGAGTCTGAGGGGCAACTATGCTCTCGTGTGCGTGCTTTATAAGTGTTGCCATATTTGCGACCCGGGTGTCAAGCGCAGGACAATGAGTGTCTGGGTGCAATCACAACAGTCGCAGAAAATCCGCGAGGGTGATAGCCGAGGTCGCAATAAAATGGCAACATCCCCGTAGCTCGCGAAACGGTGTGGCTGTAAGTAATTTCTGCGTGGGCTAAGTGTAAGTCCGACTGCTGGTCATCCGTAACAAACTTTCAGAGGATATTATCGAGATTTTTTGTGTTGACCTCAGTCTAACCATCCGTCTAAGGGTGGTAAGGCAAGAGAAGTGGAGCTGAGATCCATACACGTTGTGTAGGCGTCGCCAGAATTTGCTGGTAAAGCGCGGGTCGCGGTCGCAAATGGTGTTTGTGACCTTTCACGAGTCGGTCGAAGACGATGTCAACAACCTCAAGAGCGATAATGCGATAGCGACACTGAGTGCATGACGACCAAGATAGCATCATGACCGCGCTCGGTTGGAGGGTGGAGGGGACCAACAAAATCCATAGAGATGGACTGCCAACGACCCTCAAGTATGGACAGAGGTTGTTGTAACCCATCGGGAATGTGGTCTACATTGCATACCTCTTGGCAGGTAGGACACTCCTGGACGTAGCTCATGACATTTCCTTACATTTGGGTCACTCGTACACACAACTAATGTGAACCAACGTCTTTCAAAAGCCCATATGACCCGCAGTTGCCTGGTCATGGAACTCGGCTACGACCTAAACACGAAGTTGTCTAGTGGAGGGAACGCAGATATGTGGGTCTCGACGACCACATGCGAGTACACAAGGTCGTTCTCACGAGGGAGTATGAAGGAACGGGCTTGCCACTCCGCAGTCTCGCGTGGATGTCATGATAATCTGGGTAGTAGTAGTATTGGGTGCGAAACTCGACGGTTACCGGATAATGGACAGTGGTAATTGAAATGGCAGCGAGCTGGATCTGCTCCCGATTGTGGTCAGGGCGGCGAGATAAGGCATCAGCGGCGCGGTTGTTTCACCCTTGATAAGCTGACTGGTGAAACTGAAGTCAGATAAGTCGCGCCACCAACGTGCCGACCGAGGGGAAAGTTTGGGCTTCGTGAGGAGAGTTTGGACAACATAGTTGTTCGTGAGCATCATGAAGGGCGCCCCGTGCGGCTAATGATGCCAGTGTCAGGTGGTATAAACTATTGTGATAACCTCACGTTTATCGGCAGTGTAGTTTATCTCAACAGACAATAACTGATGGGAGTAGAAAGCGATCGAACAATCCTCAACACGAGCCTTGATACTCCCATCCTCCATGATGGTCAGAGAATAAGTAAGAAGAGGACTGTCACTGAAGGGAAGTGGTGGAAAGGTAGCCGTCAGTCAAGAAGCAGTGTCAACAGGAGGGGGAGGAAAGTAGGGAACACGGGGATAAGGCGAATCAGGTGTAGTGGGAACACCTGGGAGAGTACAACTCCTCTTGCAAAATCTGACGCATCGGTGGTGACTATGAAAGGACGATCAAAATGAGGGATGCGAAGTACCGACGCACAAGTCACTGCCTTCCTCACATCAGGGTGTCCAAAACCATGACAGGTGCTTCCGGAGGAGGGTCGAGGTAAGAACGTACGAGTATCTAGTGTATCCTCAGATGAAGTTACTGTAATTACTAAGTTTGACTGAAGCTGCTTAGCAAAGGTGGGGGCGGGTCACTCCGTGGTAGCAGCGATCTTTGCGTCGTCCATGTCGAGACCCTGGTCAGACACATAGTTTCCTAGAAAGCCCACTTTGCGGTGAGCAAAGCTTGGCGTAGAAGTCGTGCTTGCATAAGCATTGTAGGACATCGTGGAAGTGTTTGAGATAGTCTTCTAAGGTACGACTGCAGACCCAGATGTCATCCAGGTACACAAGAACGTACTCCATAAGGATGTCCCTGAAGATATCGTTCATCGTCGTTTTGAAGTTGGTGGGTGCATTGCGAAGGCCAAATGGCATCACCGTGAACTCGTAGTGGTCAAAACGTTATCAAAAGGCGGTCTCCGACTAGTTCAATGTCGTTTTGAAGTTGGTGGGTGCATTGCGAAGGCCAAATGGCATCACCGTGAACTCGTAGTGGTCAAAACGTTATCAAAAGGCGGTCTCCGACTAGTTCAATGTCGTTTTGAAGTTGGTGGGTGCATTGCGAAGGCCAAATGGCATCACCGTGAACTCGTAGTGGTCAAAACGCTATCAAAAGGCGATCTCCGACTAGTCCTCTAAGCCAACGCAGATCAGGTGGTAATCGCTACAAAGATTAATCTTCGTAAAGAAGCGGTTGCCTGCCAGACGGTTAAACAACTCATCAGCGTGAGGCATGGGATAATTGTTCTTAGTCGTGTAACGGTTAAGGGCACGCTAATCGATGTAGAGGCGGGGAGTTCCATCTGCTTTGCGAGCAAAGAGGACGGGTGCCCCCCAAGGCGGGTTA